ATATTCGAACATCCTCAGTCGGTTACCACGCGAGAAACATTACTCCTTCGTCCCACCAACCACATCCAAGTCCTCTAAACTAAATGCCGTTTTTGGTACTCTCCTTTCGCATCAGCTGTTGCGTGAGAACCCAAACTAATAAGGTCAAAACCGACCAAAATACAAAATTACATTTAGGCATCTGCCAATGCATAAGCACGGTTTTTGTTCAAGTGAAAAGAAACAACTGCAAATGATGATACACAGCATCATTATCCCGACCTCCTTACAAGTATTACAATTTCAAGTGCTATTAGCTATGACCTGAATAGTTCACAGCCACTCACCGTCAAAGTTTAAAAAATCGAACTAATTTTCAAGAAACATTCCGCACAGATGGCTGCTTAAACTAATTGAATAATTTCTTCACTTCGTGAATGTTACGAAAGAAAAATAACAAATTCGGAGCAAATCAGCGGTGCTTGAACTCTGAATACTACAACGAATGAAAGTACTGCAGAGTCAAAAAAAAACAGATGTACAGTAAAGCGGACTCTAGATTTAAAACTTTATTTTTTAAAGTTGCACTTCAATATACAGCTCATTATTCCGTTTCCTGCAAAGCAACATAATTAATCAAGATATTTTTCAGTGTCAAAGTATACTACAGTACGTTTAATGAGAAGACCACTGGAGCTCAATATGAACTTAGCGAAAGAAATGGAAAAGCATCGAAAAACCTTTCCACAATGAAATGCGCATGATCACTTGCTTTTGTTCAACAAACCATTAATTCCCTTAATAATATTACATTATCGGTGCACTGTTTAGCTATAGCAATGCTATGAATATTCAGCCTAGCACAAACTTGAAAAAACCTAAAATCAAACAGTAGGAAGATGTACGACCAAAACTCACCAAGCAATGTGATATCGCACTAGAGAAACAAAATGTTGTATACTTGACAGAAAATCGACTTTGACAACTCCAATGCCCTGCATCCGATAAAAACACTACCATTTGGAGCATTTTTCGCTATTTTTTTCAAAAATCTAATTACTTTTCTACTTCTGACTATTAACTAATCAAACCAACTTCGGTACTTTGTTTTTCGGTTGCAAGTTACCTCTTCAAACAAAAATACATTCGACGAAGACTAAAATACAGAACCCGTGAACCATTAACTACAACAAGAGCATTAGCCACAGACTAAGTTAAAGGACTGACTGGAAACTGCACCGATAGCACGTTAAACATTAACACTTTCCTGCACTCGCGAGCAGTATTACACCAACAGAACAATTCTCTAGTGATCTTCGCTCTGCCACACATAAAAGTAGCGTAGTGGCTGAGAATAAAATATTAGGGTTAGACACCATCTTAACTGGAAGTTGGACGATTCCCAGATGAAGCATACGTCCCAGAAGCGCCTGGTGAGTCTTCTTGCTCAACTTCGATTTCTTCACTTGCATCAGCGTTTTCCTTGGTCTCCATTTCCCCCTCATTTTCCCCAAAGTTTAACCAGGACTAAAAACAGAAAGTTTAAATGATCAAAAACTACATGCAAAAAACTAATTTAAGCATAAGATTACAATCTACCTGTTCGACTATTTGCTGTACTCTTTTCTCATACTCTCTCCTGTTTTCTTGATATAATTGAGCTGCTAATGAATTTGCAGGGCTGTTAGGATTTGGCTCATCCAATAATGACTGAATAGAGGTCAAGATGGCTGCGACATCATATGTTGGTGACCAACGATTCTGAAATAGCATTCCACAAATCAGAGATCAAAATACAAAAAAATATATCCGAAATCAAGATAAATAAGAAGATATAAGTCAAGTGCCTGTAAAAGAGAAACAATCTAATGGGGAAGAAATAAGGCAGAAAATCTCAGTACATCAAACCTGTAATATATCAAGGCATATGCTTCCATCGGCATAAACATTTGGATGAAACATCTTTGAAACAAACTTTACTGTTGGCGGTTTGTTTGGGTATTCTTCAGTAAATTCCAAAGTCAATTTAAAAGTCCCATCTTCAAAGGGTGTATCTTGTGGGCCAAAAATAATAGCTTCCCACATCAATATATTGTCTTCTGTCGGAGCACCACTAACACCAGCAGGGGGGTCTTCCTAAATAGTTGGGACAAAGTCACATTTCAAAATCAATGTAAAGAGCGTATTTCAGGCGGATGCACAACGCATTTCCCCACTTTTACGGTACTGTCTTTTCTCCTCAACTTCTCAAACAAACATTGAATTCTTAATTCAAACTCCTCAAATCCAGCTACGATTTCGGCCTATATAAGATTAAAAACTTAGATTCACGTCACACAGTAAAATATATTTGGCACACGGTTCATAAAAACCGAAATTAAAAAAACACGCAAAAAAAGTTATTGTCACACAAAAAATACCTGCAATTTTTTGAAGTCCCTCATTAACCGCCTTCTTGACGGGGTAGTCATCTTCCTAAACCTTCCTGAAAAACCACATGATAAGTAGTTCATAAAGTAAAAGGCGATTATCCAGCAAGAGCGACAAAACCTTATAACTAACAAAAATATGACCAAAAGCATTCAATCAAGTGTGAGCAACCAGAAGGTTGAGCTTCTAAACATTATTATCAAAGGAAGAAGTGTGTTTTAACTGATTAACAATAAACGCAATTTGATCATAACTAAAGCAAACTCCTCAGATTTCTCCCACAGCAAAAACTATGAAATTACATTTCACCGGCCGCATGGAATACCAAGAACAACAAGAACGTCCTAACTGCAACAGTCAACTAATCCATCGCAAGTGAACAAAGCTATTTCAACTATGTGATACTTCAGCTTCGAAGAAATCAGACCACCATCAATATATAACGTTCCGAGCAACTATTACAGACTTGTAAGCATTTAGCCTGGACTTCAGTTTGTACACATAATCCTCTCTAACGCTACCCTCACATCGAAAAGCTGCCAACATAAGCAGAGGAACACAAAAATACAAACTTTTTGACTACTCGTTGAAAAGCCATAACATATAATATGTCAACTTTACAACATAAAAAACCCTCGAAATACACGAACTGATGACAACCAAATCTGACCGATAAAATGTAGACGCTTCACAGGCTTAACAGTACCATATCTAAATGTATTACCTTGACGATGGCTGATCAGAAGATGGGCGATGCCTTAAAATTTTTCACAGTAAATTCCTTAAATAAGCCACATGAAATGCAACCGCTAGTAAAAAATATTTTCAAAAAAGACAACCTCATTTCAACTTAACCAAAATATAATTAAAAAACAACTGCACAAAAAACTTTCGCAATATTCGTCTAAAATCATCACTTCGACTGAAAAGTCGAGAACACAGGCATAAGAACAGCACTTGAAATTGCAAATCAAGATAAATTGTTAGGCAGAAATAGAAGCAAACAAAAACGAAAAAGCATAAAAATGGAAACAGTGATGCTAACCTTTATTAATTAATTTAATCTACTTATTTCATAATCTAACCACCCTAACTATTTATCTATTAAGAAAGATCAATTTCGTAAAAAAAAGAAAGACTGAACTTACTGACATCAAACAACCCATCTAACCAAATCTTTATTGCAACACATAGGTATTTGAACTCAAAACTGTCAGAATATTTGTAAAATTCTAGAAACAATAGGTAACAACAAAAGATACTTACCCACAGCTCAAATTTTAATCTTCTTTAAACAATTTCGCCGTGCCTTCCATCACAAACAGCTGACAACAACAGACGCTAGAATACTTTACCGCGAAGAAAAAAACACAAAAAACTACTATTAGGATGACTTGTGGCAGCGTCGGCAGAACCAGCGACCAAAATCTGCACTCACCGGTTCTCTAATATAATAGACCCATTCAAAAAGTTAGAACGTCATTTCGTATACTCTGCAGAACCAACCATAAATCAAACATTTTACCAACCAACTTTCATAAAATCTCAGACTCTTCCACAGAATGCAAACCTATATTCATTTTTTTGTGTTCTTACAAAATAATAACCCCCTCATCAATGTTATTTCCTAGCAAGAACTGTTTCAGGTGTAACTTCCATAATTATCTTCGTTTAACTCAATATATAAAATTCTTTAAGCAACCAACAATCCTCAAAAACAATAGGCCGCCACAAAGAATATTAAAAAACGGATTCAGCAAAATGCACTCACCGCCAAACAGGTGAAGAACCTCACACAAATCCGACTTCCAACCAGCCGATCCTGAGAAATCTGAGAAAAAAACTCAGTAAAATAAATCTCAGAAGTTAGTACAGTCATCGTCTATTCTTACCACCTACCGCTGCACTTTGTTGAAATTCAAAATTAAAAGCTCTACACTGTTACCAAACACAGAAGACCCATAACCCCCACAACTTTGAAATATATCAACATTTTCCTTTAAAAATCTCTTAGAAACAGAGAGTTGGCACTAATAGTCAGATAAACTCTCGCCTCGAATGCTGCCTTATTCCTCAAATCCTATTAATCTGCGGCCTACAAGAGATTGTGAGGAAAAGTATGAAATTATATTGGTATCAAATTACGTGCCACAGCTATCACAAGACAACAATGAATAAAAGTCTCTTCAAGCAGCCGATTAGCATACTTCAAAGGCAGAACCTCAAGAAAAAATCCAAAATACATCAAAACACCTGAACTGCTTTTCAACCTCTAAACATCTCTACAATTCCCTATCTCACAGTCCAGCCTCCTGAATTACTCTGTTTGAAACACTAGAACAATATAGTGACAAAACAGGACGCTCCTCACCCTACTTCTTGAAACAACAGCCAAAAATAAATCGGCTCAAGAACCTCCAGAATACATGTAACCTTCCTTCAATTATTCCACAAATTCATTTTCAGAAACACTAAAATTGCTGCATTTGTTAAAACATGATAGATACCAAACCTTTCCCACATATTTATTCGCGGCCTTTGTTAGGCAAGCGTGAATTTAATATTACTTTAACATGTGGCCTAAAGCAGAAGTCTTAATTCTTAGAAAACTCACTAGTTCAACTACAAAAGCTTCGCTCTAGTAAGTAATAAACCAAAAAACCTTTAGATAAAATAATTTCGAATGTAAAAGTTTGAAACACAAATTGCAATGCAACTGATTCAGACCCGAACATCCAGTTAGATCCTGAAATAACTGACCGCTAAAAATATTTAAAAAAAAAGACATGCCTCCGGTAAAAAATAAGTATGGAACCTTCCACAATACTTTTCTAAACCTTTCACAAGTGATCAGTTAGAGTGAAAAACAATTTTAAATTCAATCTTCTTCTCGAGGAGCAGGTAATACATGTGAAGTAATCTCCTTTAGAGATACCAAATACGTCAAAAAATACTGCAAATATTCTAGTGACTAGACACCTGCCGAATAATTCACTTTTTTTGCACAAATATTCAGCGCATAAATTTAAATATAATGAAGATCCTAAAAAAAACAAACAACTTTTTTTCCCTAACAGGAACCAATGCTCTTCATTAGTTATCTAACGACCAATTGAAAATACGAAGTATTTCGAAAATTCACCTACAAGTCCCGTCTAAGTGACTTTTCAGTAAACTTGAATCGTTTACAACGTTAGGATTTGGGAACTACATTTGACCTCGTCTACTTACTTGCAAAGACCACGTGTTAGACAATTTAATCCAAACCCAGCATGATTTTAAACTACCAGTTTCTAAATTTAGTGCCTGACATTTAACAACATCCAAACGGCCTCTATCTTAAAGGCACATGAAATTGAAAATGAGGCATTAAAAAAATCATTTTACAGTTGTAAAAAGACCAATAAAATCATTTCACTAAAAAGTAATAGAAAATCGAACAGATTAAAACCGACAGTAAAAGTTTCAATTACATGTTACTGAACAAACAAAATTTTCAAAACGTATCTCCTTTATATAATAATCGTACCCAAAACAGCTCCAGTTAAAATCTACACGGCAATATCCCCTACCACCTTCGAAGTCCAAATTAACAATTCACTCCGCTTCTTACAATCCAACAAGTACAAAACCTTGGTACACCACTCGCCGCTCACTTCGAAAAAGACAAAATAAAGCCATTAGTACAAAATGATCCTCCAGCAATCCACCATCGCACAGTGACAACCTGAAAATAAGAATGTTAGAGAATCAGAATAGAACCAAGTACACAAGAATGTAGAATCACGACTAAGAGCACTTGCAATCAAAGCACGATGCAAAACAGCAAACAGAACCTCGTATGCCGATACTCGGAAATATTAAAACAGAGACAACCTCCTTCTTAAAAGCGGATTATCCTTTAATCACCTATTACTTCCTCAATCTAAATACAAGTGACAGTTGCTGATAACCGTAGGAAAACAAACAAAAAACATTTAAAAATAAGGAACCTTCAAAAACAACAAAAATAACTCTCGGTTTTCAAAAAATTATGATCCAAAAACCTGTACCTCAAGCAATAAATGTATTGTATAAAGCAAATGCAGAAATTAATGAAGAAAAAACTATCATCCACATTGTAAAAGCCTAGATGAACGAAAGAGTATATAAAAAAATAATAACAAGTAAATTTTGAATCAACGCAACTCATCTAAAAAATGAATCATAAAAACTCAATTTTCCATAGAGCTAAACAATATAACAAACAGAAATCCAGGATCTTATTTTGAAAAAATGCAAAACTGAAGTATTGAAAGAACCGCATAAGAATAAGGAATTAATGAAATGCGACAAATTGGGTTTTACAGAAAGACAGGTCCCAATCCAATCTCCCATCTTACCCAAATCTACAAGACAGTTAGAAACCTCATAACATCTAACACGATTTATAAAAAAAGCAGAAGAACACAAACCGAAACCTATTCACCCTTTGTTCAACAAAAAATGAGAAGGAAAAATAAATATCATCAGAACTACGTCAACATACAAGTGGCTAACAAGTGCCCCTTCATTTTATGAGCAAAACCCGTCGCTCAACCTTTAACCTCCCCGAATTTGCTGTTAAAACTGGGAAAAAATAGTATAGCACTGAATAGCAGTATTAATTCCAATCA